AAGGCACCTGAAAAATTACCAGTTTTAAAGTGAACAATTCAGTTCCTCTCACCACACTCTTGCGTGCTGTGCAACCGCTACCTCTATAAAGTTCCAAAACATTTTAATCACCCAAAGTAAACCCCTTACCCATAAAGCAGTCACTCGCCATCCCCACTATGGCGACCATCGATCTACTTTCTGTTTCTATTGATTTACCTATTGTGGATTTTCATACAAAGGGAATAACAGAATATGTGATTTTTTTTTTATCATTTTGCCATGTTTATTCATTTATTTACAACTTGGAAGGCTTAGCAGTGAGAAGCTGCAGATTATGGGGAAGTGTGTAGTGGAGCTGGCGTGTAAAAGTGCCCTCTTCTCTCCAGCCACGCTGTCCTTTTGTCCACTTCTCACTGATAGAAAATCTCCACGTGCGACATCTATTTGCGACCTCTGTGACTGGCCCCAAGCAGCTTCCCCAGAGGACAAAACTTATACGGACACTTTAATATAAATAAATGAATACACAGCTATTATTTAAATTGTGGAAAATTTTAACAAACAGAAGGCACAGAAAATAATAAGCAGATACCCATATGCCCACCACAGATTTTAGTCTTGCTTATTCACCTTTGGTCTTCTCTCTTTTTCATTAGGAAATAAGATTTTATGGAGCTAGAGCCCTTCCTCAATTTAAGTATTCCCACAGTTATTTTCATTGTGGCTTCTTTTACAAATGCTTTTAAAAAAGTTTAAAACTTTTTTATTGTTTATTCTATTACAGTTGTCCCATTTTTTTCTCCCTTTGCCCTCTTCTACCCAGCCCACCTTTCTAGCCCACAGTCAATCCCTTCTCCGTTGTCCACGTCCATGGGTCATTCATACATGTTCCCTGACTAGTCCCTTCCCCTTCTTTCCACCATTCCCCCCCTCCCTTCTCCCTTCTTACAGCTCTCAGTCTGTTCCATGTTTCCACATCTCTGGTTCTATTTTTCTCATCAGTTTATTTTGTTTATTAGATTCCAGTTGTAAGTGAGATGATATCGTATTTGTCTTTCACCGACTCCCCTAGTTCACTTAGCAAAATAGTCTCCAGTACCATCCATGTTGTCGCAAAACATAGGAATTCCTTCTTTCTGCTGCGTAGTATTCCAATGTGTAAATGAGAATATGTGATCTTTTGTGTCTGACTCCTTTCACTTAGCATAACATTTTTGATGTTCATCCACATTGTAGCAAAGAACAGTAATTCATTCGACTTCATGACTGAATAATATTTCATTTATGGATGCACCGTAACTGGCTTACCTATTCATCCGTTAATGGACATTGTAATTATTTCCATCCTTTGTCTATTGTGAATAGTGCTGCTATGGATTTGTGTACAAGTATTTGTTTAAGTAGCTGTTTTCAATACTTTAAATATATACCTAGGAGTGGAATTTCTGGGTCATAGGGTAATTGAATATTTAACTTTTTGAGAACTTGCCAAACTTTTCCACAATGGCTGCACCATGTTATATTCTCACTTGCAATATCCAAGTTGTCTACGTTCTCACCTATATTTGTTACTTTCTATTTTCTGACTATCACCATCTTAGTGGATATGGAATGATACCACATTGAGGACTTGTGTTTTCTAATAACTTATTATGCTGAACTTTTTATGTGTTTTGACCATCTGTATAGATTTTTTTTGAGAAATCTCTATTCAAATTCTTTATTCATTTTTTTAATTTGGATTTGTCTTCTTGAATTGTAAAAGTTCTTTACATAGACTGGATACTAAGCCCTTATGAGATATACAATTTGCATATATTTTCTCCCATTCCATGAGTTGTCTTTATACTCTCTTGATTGTCCTTTGCACAAAGTGTTTTAATTTTTATGAAGTCCATTTTACCTGACTTTTCTTTTATTACTTAATGGTTTTGGTGTCATAGCTAATCATCCATTGCCAAATATGAGAGCAATGAAAATTTACTTGAATGTTGTCTTCAAGTTTTTTACTTTCAGCTGTTACAGTTATGTTATGATTAATTTTGAGTTTTTATATATATGATGTAAGGTATGGGTTCAACTTCATTCTTTTGCATGTGAGCATTGAGCTATCTTAGCACCATTTATTGAAGAGGCTATCCTCTATTCATTAAATGATCTTGAAAGCATAATCAATAAGCAGTTCACCAGATGTATGAGTTTATTTCTGGGTTCTCAATTTTATTCCTTTGGTCCATTTGTCTCTATGCCAGTACTACACTGTTTTGATTACTGCTGCTTTGTAGCAAGTTTTGAAAATGGGAAGTGTGAATCCTCTAATGTTGTTCTGCTTGTTCAAGAGTATTTTGCCTATTTGAGGCTCCTTGAAATTTCATATCAATTAGAGCATTGGTGTTCCAGTTTTTCCAAAATAGATCATTGGAATTTTGATCAGGATTGCACTGAAAATGTAGATCCCTTATGGTAGTGTTGATGTCTTAATATTATGTCTTTCAATTCTTAAATATAGATGTCCCTCCATTTATTTAGGTCTTCTTAACATTCTTTCAGTAATGTTTTATAGTTTCCAATACACAAGTCTTTCATCTGCTTGGTTAAACTTATTCTTATTTATTTTTTTTGGATGCCACTTACTGTAAATGACATTGTTTTCTCCACTGTTTTTTTGGTATTGTTCATTGCTGGTGCATAGAAAAATAACTGAGTTTTTTTTTATTGAGGTACAATTGATGTGTAATTGACATGTGACATTATATTGGTTCCAGGTATACAACATAATTCACTACTTGTATATATTGCAAAGTGTTTTCTACAGTAAGTCTGGTTAACATCCATCACATACAGTTGTAAAAATTATTTTCTTGTGATGAGAAATTTTAAGATGTATTCTCCTAGCAACTTCCAACTATGTAGTATGGTATTATTAACTATAGTTACCATGCTGTATATTACATTCTCTGATTTATTTTACAATTAGAAGTTTGTACCTTTTGACTCCCTTCACTCATCCTCCTCCTCCTTGCCTTCCCTTGACCTCTGGCGACCACCAGTTTGTTCTCTGTGTATATGAGCTAGGGTTTCAGTTTTCTTTCGTTTTGCATTTTTGGGGGTTTGTTTTAGCTTCAGATTGCACATATAAGTGAGATCATCTGCTATCTTTCTCTGATTTATTTCACTGAATGCCCTCGAGATCCATATATATTGTCACAAATGGCAAAATTTCATTCTTTCACAATTTCTTTACCCATTCATTTGCATGGACACTTAGGTTGTTTCTGTAGCTTGGCTTTTGTAAATAATGCTACACTGAGGAGGGTGCATATATCTTTTCAAGTTATGTTTTCATTTTCTTCACATAAATACCCAGAAATGAAATTGCTGATCACATGGTAGTTCTATTTTTAAAAATTTTATTTTTTAATTATAGTTGACATACATCAGTATACAAGTGTCAGGTATACAACATAGTGATAGGACATTTATACACCTTATGAAGTGATCACCATGGCAAGTCTAGTACTCACAGGACATCATACATAGTTACTACAATGTTGTTGACCGTACTCCCTAAGCTGTACTTTACATCCCTGTGACTATTTTTATACCTAGAAATTTGTAATCCTTAATTCCTTTAAACTTTTCCACCCTTCCTCCAAACCTAGCTCCCATCTGGTCATCATCAATTTGCTTTCTGAGTTTTTTTCTGCTCGGTCTATTCATTTATTTCGTTTATAGGAGTCCACATATAGGTTAAATTATATGGTATTTGTCTTTCTCCATCTCACTTATCTCACTTAGCATTATACCCTCTCAGCCCATCTATGTTGTATATGGCAATATTTTATTCTTTTTATGGCTGAGTAATAGTCCTTTGAATATATCTACCACAACTTCTTTATCCACTTGTTGATTGATGGACAATTAGGTTGCTTCTATATCTTGCCTATTGTAAAGAGTGTTATAATAAACATAGAGGTGAATATATCTTTTGAAATCAGTGCTGTGGATTTTTTTTAATATATACCCAGAAGTGGAATGTTGGGTCATAACTTATTACTATTTTTAACTTTTTGCGGTACCTTCTTACTGTTTTGCATGATAGTGGTATCAACTTACAATCCCACCAACAGTGCACTAGGGTTCCCTTCTCTCTACAACTTCAGCAACACTTGTTTGTTCACTTATTGATAATAGCCATCCTGACAAGTGGTAATATCTCATTGTGTATTTAATGTGCATTCCCCCGATGTCTAGTGACTTCAAGCTCCCTTCATAGATGTTGACCAGTTATATATCCTCTTGGGGGAAATGTCTATTCCGGTCCTTTGCCCATTTGTAATTGGATTGTTTGGATTCTTTTGGTGTTAAGGTATCTGAGTTCCTTATATACAACTCTCATATACCAAGCTACATTTACAGCAGTTTTTTCCCCAATATTATTTTGTGTTGGTTTTGGTGTACAGCATAGTGGTTAGACAATCATATACTTTACAAAAATGTTCCCCTTAATATTTCCAGTACCCGCCAAGCACCATACAAGGTCCATCCAGAAAGTATCTGTCCATGTAATATGAAAAATAGAGACATTTATTAAAGAAGGTACAAGAAACATTGTACTTTCTTAACCTACTCTGAAAACATGAGCTTTCTCAAATCTCCTAGGAATGATTAAGAAGGATCTCTTAGGCAAGAGAATATCTCAGAGATAAAGAGAACTGTAGTTTTTCTTTACCTTTTGCTTAATGTATATACTTATCCAAAACTTTAGTGTCCTAGCTAATGTTGGAAAGAAATTAAGCATATGCTCTATACTTTTGTAGGGGGACTAATTTTTAATCTTACATTTCATTATTTTTTTAAATTTAATCTTTATTGTATTTTTTATAGTTTTCTTCATTAGAAAATGTTATTGGAATATGAATGTCATAAATTAACAAAATCAACACTAGTAAAAAAGGCTTTTCATTTGTATCTATTTATACCTTTACTTATAACTTATCCTGACTTTCCATAAAATTTGAGGCAAATGTTACAATAAAGTGAGATATAAGAAAGCTGAAGCCATTTGCTAAGCCATATAGCTAAGATGTTATATGATCTGATCTCTTTTCCTGTTCATGCTGAATAAATATCTATTTATAACCTAGAAGCATAATAATGTGGGCAATATCTTTGTCCCCAATCATGTAAGCAGTATATATCCCCCCAATTAAAAGAAATTCAGAACAAAAAGAAATAGACATCTGGTATTATTGTTTTTATTTACAAAGAATTATTTTTATTTGACTGTTTGGAAAACCACTAACATTTTTCACTTTAGAAAACATTAAATAATAAACAAGATGTTATACAGTACTTTGGATAACTTCTTTCGTCAGTTTAGTGCAATGAATTATTGGCACCTAAAAGTGAAATTTTCAATATTTTCCCCTTTCATCTTCCATTGTGCAGTGATATGACCAAAAAGATAATGAATCATTGAAAAAAGGCTCTCAGGCCGTATTTTCTGGCCCCTACTCAAAGGCTCACTGATTTATACTCCCCTCCTGCCCTGCCTCCACCAAGTTAAATGACAAGAGATATACCATTATACCTATTGTTCAAAAAATATTACCATTGTGGAGCTTGGGAGATTCAGTTGATAGAAACTGAATTAGACCCATTAGGAGGAGGAAGGGGCCTGGCAGCTGTGCTGGGCATGGCCCTCTCTGTCAGGAACGGAGTTCAGCTGTCACACACACTGCAGAGAGGATGCACCAGTTAGAAGGCTCTGCAAACTGTGTTCTTTGTTATGGTCTTTTTAAAAATCTTAAGTATCATCCATTGGGCAAGTGAAAGGGTTATATTTACTCAAGAAAAAAAAAATAAACACCACCACATTAGGACATTGAATACTAAAACACGTTTATTATAATCTTTTTGGAATAAATATATATATATATTTTTTCCTTTCTTATTTTAATACTGCTAGGTTTGCCATAAAGGGAGAGACATTTTAGTGAGCCCAGCATTTGGTCGACTTTCCCCTTTTTGATTCCTCTCCATCAGGAGTCAAAGAGGGAAATGCCTAAATTAAACCCCGGCCTAGTCCAAATGACTCAGTCCTGGAGATTTTCATTACATAGTAATAGGATCAAAATATCTTTTGGGAGGTTCTATAATCTGTTACTCTAACTTGAATGTCATTAACCATCTGAAATACACAAATTTTTATCTGATTTTTTTTAAAGCCTCACAAAGAGACAGAGAGAAGGTCACACTTCTTTATAAGGGATTCTAATTTAATAACTGTCCCTGCCAGAAAATGCTCCCTCATACTCCAGTCTAAGCCTGTTTCCTCTTGTTCTATTCTTAGTGCATGTGGAGAACAGCTGGTCACCATCCTCCCTGTACCAATCCTTCATACACTTGAACACCCGCAACGACTTGCCCTCCCTCAGTCTTCTCTTCTCCAGGCCAAGTAATCCCAGCTCCTTTACTTTTTCATCATAGATCTTTTTTTTCCACCCCTTTAATCATCTTTGTGATTCCTGGCAAAGGTAGCAGAAAATATTTTGATTAGTTAATCAGAAACGAGGAAAAGCCTCAGTAGTAAGTTGCATTTTAAAAGTTATATACTTTTCATATAAAGTTAAAATACGCAAGGAGGAAACATGTCAGTTGAGGGTTCCTAGATCTTAGAATTCTAATCTTGACCTGTTGTTCTAGTGTGCAAGTGAAGCCTGTTCCAGCACATTCAGTACCTCAAAGCATGTGACTTGCTTCCTATCTGACCCTGACATGACAGCACAAAAGTTATCAGCTGGACCTGCCTAAATTTTCACTGATTTAAAAATTAGTATGAAACTCTATTCCAAAGGGGCTGCTCCCATGCTTCTCCACATCCTATTTCCACAAACAGAATCTTTCCTCTGAAACAGCCAGAACTTTTACCAAGCTTCTTACAGATTACCAGAGAGGACCAGGTTACTGTGGTAAAAGCTGTTGGTTTTAAAGTGTAGCCAGAAACAATGACAGTTTTATATGCTAATTTCAGCTTCTTGTCTACCTAAATAAATGGTTTCTTATCCTTTGTAAGGATCAAACAGAAGGTCATTCAAACATTCATCCCTTCGCTACTACAACCTGACACCTCTTCAAATTCCTCCTACTACCAATATAAGGTCATAGAACTGGATAACATTTCACCATGTATTTTTTAATTCAAGAGATCACAAGCTGCCTTTTCTTTTGCAACTAGAGTCTGTAAATACCAGGAACACGTAACTACTTAATATCAATAGCACATTTACATTTACACAAAACACAATACTACTAACAAGGAATTACGTGCTCACTTTACATAATTGTCTTTAAAAGAAAAATTCAGATAACAAGATTAAATGCATTTTGATATGTTGCACACCCTTCTTTTATAAAGTGAATGGCAGTAAAAGAGTTCAGATCAGTCCAGTGAAGTGGAGAAACAAGTTTCACAAGCACATTGTACAACATATCTTAGGGGAAGTCAATACTACTCATGGTACAACACTGAACAGATAACAGAATGCCATTTGCACAAATTTCTTTTGAAGACGTCTCCCATAATCTGCTACAAGGAACGCCTTGTAACCAGGATGAAGGATGGCATAGGTCACACAGGCTGAAGGCCAGTTCCTAAAAGGTAACACCCACAGAGGGACTGCATGTGTCTACAGACGCCCCTTTCATTTCCGCGAGGGGGTCACTTGTTCATTGGGATTGCACAAAAGCAGGCCGAAAAGATGAGGGTCAAAGACCAGACGTTCTCTGACCCACCGACCCACTCTTTTCCTAGGCCTGACAAAAGGGAGAAGACAGGAGGTGAAGATTAGAAAAAGAAGAGGGAGCAACATAGGAGTTCATTGCTAGTTGTGGAGTTGCTCGCGTTCTTCAGAGCAGTGGCCTTTTCTCAAGCTCACATCATCCAATCCAATCTCCCCAGTGTGACCACGCCTTTTTTCACCTTTGAAGATGACCTAGGGAGAGAATGTACACACTGATCAGGCCTACTCTGCCCTTCCCAGTGCCTGTTCTTTTAGCAAAATAAGGCAAACTTCCCCAAAACTAAATAGTAAACGTACTTAACAGAAGGAAAGACTAGAGGACAGTGTCACTGGAGGCTTGCCAATTAGTAGAAACTTAAATTGCCATTAAACTGTTAGTATTCAGAATCGGTTATCCTTCAAAAGCCATTCTAAACTATCGACTACCTCAATTTAGGAATGCTTATGATGTGGACACTTCCGTCAAAGACTACAGAGGTCAGAGGCAAAGAGTGTGAGGGAATGTAAACGTGCAGAAGTTGAGAGCCAAAAATCTAAAAGATCACAGTCGTGCAGCCTGATGCTTTCCGGCTCCTCCACTGGGTTCAAACAGCTTTGTTGCAAAATGGAGCAGAATCGAACTCCATAATCTAACCATAGTGTTGTTTTACCTGTGTCAACACCAAGGACTTTCACTATTCTAGCATTTTATCTTTCATAGCACCGTTGCTTCTTTGCGGGGTGGGGGGGGCGGGGGCAGTTAGAGGGTGGAGGGCGCAAGCAAAAAGGGAAAAGGACTCCTGGGCATGGACAAGAGTGAGGTGGTTGCTGGGGGCGGGGGGGGGGGAGTGGGTAAGGGAACTAAATGGTAATGGAAAAAATATAATAAAAAATAAAAGCTAAAAATATAAAACCAAAAGAAACCAGTCTATGCTGTGATTTGAAATGATTTATCTTGTTTTATTTCTCCAAATATATAAATATTAAGAAAAATCACACTAAAATAAAATTCCAGAGGGATAAAAACTGTATTAATGCAGTCTATCTTTTCTTTCTAAAAGAGTTTCTAGAAACTATACCTATAGGCATAGATGTAGAGTATAATAGTTAAAGTTTTATAAGCATCAACATAAAGAAGACACTTTTTCCGAATATATTCATTATTTCAGTGAGATGTTACAGACTCCAGATTGCTACATATGACTTGATCACTTGAGGTAAAATTTATCTATTCAATCAAAGCTTTTCCCACATCCTGTCCTATTCAACTAGGATCTCTGTGGCAAAGTGGGGGAGAAAATGGAATTTAAAGAAACATTTTGGTACAAAAAACACTTCAGAGTAACTCATTGTGGTCAGAGTTTGAAGTATAAGGAATGAAAGGAGATACCCTTTGAAGTTTTTGTTAACATTTTTACTTTTTCAAATTTTTTTTTTTTAACTAGAAGTAGGAGCTCAACCCCAGGTGAGGAGAGCAGTAGCAGTCACAGATTATAATGAAGAATTACAAAGAAACAAAAAGTGATTAAAGAAAGAGGCAAGGAATGGAGTCATCATACCCAGAAAAAAACACTAACTTCTGCCTGAGCCCGAGTTAAGGAAGAGTAAGGCTTCTTCCAATTCTGACCCCCTGAGTTCTCCTCTAAAAGGAAAAGCTCTCAGTCTGCCTTCTACTTACGCTCTTGACGTCAGCCCCTCGCAGGGTGATCTGCGTCTGCCTCCAGCCACGGCCACCGTTTCTTCCCCACAGGGCGGCTCCATGGGCACCCTGTTTCCTCACAAACACCTGGAGCGTGCCGGAGTGCAACCCAGTTACCTTGTGCCTGAATGACAGACACAGGTCCCCTGAATGCATGAGGTGGCCGAGAGGTAGCACCAAGCGCGCCGCTTTTCCCCCGGGGCCCTTGGCTGCTGAGACTGTCAGATACTGTCCACCTGCAATGGGAAAAGCAGGGCCGTGGGTGAACGTGCCGACATCCCTTGCTAGCACACACAATATGGACAGGAGTCTCACTTTTTTTCTTTGTCTTGTTTAAATAAACTTCAAACTGTGACAGTCATTTGTAAAGAATTCCAGATTACCGAAGGAGAAAAATATGGCTTATTTCTACGCCTGTCTCAAATTCCACAGTTTTGTGTTTACAGAAAACACTTGCTCTTTGTGCTCATGGAGAGGACAAGTTATGCCAAAGACACGCAATAATTAGGAACCCTAACACTCAGAGCACTTCCAGTGGAATATGATCAGACACACACAGGCATGCACAGACACACGCCTTCACCACCTCCTGATCCTCACCAAGTGATGATTATGTTGTCAGGCTGGCGGGCTGATTTGGCGGTTGACTGAGTCGCCGGGAGAATTTTCTGTGTGGATAATTAACCTCCAGGCAGCAGGGCAGGTGGTGGTTTAAAGGGTACTACATCTGTTTATTATCTCTCCCCTGTGCTTTTTAAAAAAACTCTAAGAGAAAACAGTCCTTTAAAAATGCCAGAACTTGCTCTGCTTCCCCCCACTGGAGAGCACCTCGCCCCAGCAACAGGCAGAGGCGCTCTGGAAACCCTCCAGTTTCCTGGAGCATGGAATTTCATTTGAAGATAAGTAGTTTACAATGTTTTTATATCATAACAATTATATAATATATAATGTAATGTAGTATGATATACATGATTACATATACACGAACATAAAATGTTAATGAAAACTGTCACTTTGGACAGGTCACTTTGTCTTCAGATCCCTTGGGCTATAGAGTTCGCCTTCCCTATTGTTAGATAAACTGCAATTAAGGGGAAGAAAAGTCTGGGCAGCAGGGAGTGGGGGAAGCTGCTTCTCAGGAGGGAAAGTTGCAGGTAGCATTTTGAAACTCAATCCAAGCACAAAGGACATTCCTCTCAGGCTGTTTTATTGTAGCCAACTGAAAAACACCCTGTTTCAACACTGATTTATCCATGGGAAAATGTGGCCGGAATGCTGAACACATGTACCTGGAAGCCCCACTTATTTTTCAATGAAAAGACAACCCATTTTTTTCTTATGCCTAATCTGTATCAAACATGATAAGGTTTGGGTGTCCTCCTATTTTTCAAGTGACCTCTCTTCCAAGCGCTCTCTGAGCAGTCACAGACCAAAGAGGTGGTTCCTGGGCACTTTTTCTGTGCCAGGCAGTGCTGAGGGCTCTGTGGGCAGCATCTCACCAACGCTGCCAATAAGCCTGTGAGGGGAAGGCTTGTCTTTCAGAGGCAGAGTTTAGGCTTTGAGAGGTGAAGTCACCTGAGGTGTTACCCACTGACTGCAGAGTAAAGGCCTGGGTTCAGAGCTGCCCTACCCCCAAGTCAGCACTTGCTGCCTCAGATTGGATCTCTGGTTTGCGTGTGTTTCTCTCCTCTGGGAGATGCGTGCTCTTTGATGTCAGGACCAACTGTTCCCCCAAACCGCCCCATTACGCTCCTAGCATATGGTAGGAGTTCAATGCCATTTGTTGAATAAATAACGTTCTAAGAATTCAGGGGAAAAAAATCCTGCAAGGAAATAGAGCCCTGAGTCATGTACTTGAATCATCAACAATAAACACAATTTCTTACCCTCATCCCACCATCCCCATCCCCCCAAATTAATCCAAATGGTATTTTAGGCCAAAATATTTAGATGGATTGTATGTGTCTCCCCATAAGTTAGCTTTTGAATCATCACAGGTATTTGGGTTAAGACTAAGATAGAAGGTTATTACAGTTAACCTGCAAGTTTTAAGAAAACAAGGATTACCTTAAGTCTCTGTGGAATGTATACTAACATCACTGCCAGATGCTGCCTGTGAGTAAGGAACCTAACAAACCAAAGCACCCGGATAAAAGAGCCAGGCCTCAGATGCAGCGTGTGGTCAGCGAGGCCAGAGCCACGCGGCCCCTGCGGAGCTGCTCTGTGGACATTTATGCAGTATGATAACTTGCTCTTTTTGTAAATATATCAGCCATTTTTCTATGCCAACAAGTAGACATTTTTCAGAGCTGCAAGTATGCCATTAAAAATTTAGCCATTTTTTTACTGAAGAACATTTGTTTCCAAATTTCACTCTAATAGTATTAAAGCAGTAAGACAAAAAAAAATTTGCACACATGAAAAGGACTGTCCCCTTTTTACCTAGAGCTTACAAATCAACAAAAAAAGAACACAAAAGAAAAATACAAAGCATCTCAGAAAAAAAATGACTTAAAATGTGAAAAGACAGTCAACTTCTCACAATAAATTAAAATGAGATGACTTTTTACCTATATGCTTGGCAAAGATTTTTAAAAGTAGTTGAATAAGGTCTGTTGTTGGGATGGCCCTTAAACATTTATTTGTGGGAGCATAAACTGGTATAACCATTATGAAGGGCAATTTAGTAAAATCAGAATTCAAAATGCAAGTTCCCTTTGATTTAGTATCTCACATCTAAGAATTTATTCTACAGATACATTCTATTCAAACATGTATGAAGTAATATGTATATAAGGTTTTCACTGCAGTATTGTGTGAACTACCAAAAGGCTGGAAACAACCGAGATATTCCCCAGAGGATGGCTGGTTAAATACAAGGGAACATCTGAGGAATAATGGAGTAACAGTCATGAATAAGAATGAGGGTGTTCACGCCAGTGATGAGTTCAATACCGCCCCAGTCTGATCACTGACTGAACGGTATTTTCTGAGCTGTAAGAAAAATAAAATAAAAAACAAAAAGAATGAGGGTGTTCAGTGTGTATTGATACAGGATAGTCTTCATCAACAATGGCTAACACTATTTTAATGCTAACTCTGGGACAAGCACTGCTTTAAACACTTTACATATGTTGAACAGATACTTCTGATTACCCCCCTTTAAGAGACTTGCCCAAGGTCAAAGCTAGTGAGCGGTGGTGCTGGGTTTCAGGCCAGACATTCAGGCTTTATTGTCCTTGTTCCTCATGTTATCTCTTAAGATATAATACCCTTACATGACAAAAGCACAGTACAGGAGAGGGTGCTTGGCTGTTGTAAGGACAAATAGGTCTTTAGGAAGGTAACCAAGGAGCTGGTTGCGTCTGAGAAGTCAACTGAGAGCCAGGGCTGGAAGGCAGCATGTATCTTTACTGTTGGTTTATTTTTCCACTTACAAGTATTTCAAAATAATGCTTTTTAATGCTGCAATAGACATACTTGTATGTACACGCTGGCATACCTATTATCTATTTAAGTGAATTCCTTGTAGCTAGCAGTAGCAGACAGAACACTGAGTCGCCTTTATAAGCCCTGATCCCCAGTGATCAGGGTTCCAGAAGCAGAGCCCCAGGTCCAGCCTTGACATCTGCAGGAGGAGGTGTGTCTTCAGGGCCCAGCTACCTGCCTTCAGTGAATCACCGCATCTGTTGGCAGCACAACTCTCCATTCTTTAGAGCAGGGGTCTGCGGCCTGTTAGGGACCGGGCTGCACAGCAGTGGTGAGCTTGCCTGTGATGTGCCTGAATCATTTGGAAACTATCCCCTCCCTCACTCCAGTCCGTGGAAAAATTGTGTTCCATGAAACCGGTCCCTGTTGCCAAAAAGGTTGAGGACCACTGCTTTAGAGGAATGTATTAATTTCATTATCTCACAAGTTAGTTTAAGATTGAATGTGATAAACAAAACCCAATGAGCACCAGGCAGGGCAGCTAGCAAATGCAATTATTTACAGTGGTTTCTCAAATTTGTAAGTTTATTTAATTGAGGGTTTTCTCTTCTCAGAGATATTAGCATATAAGAATATTTCCATATCTGGATCTTAGATAATAAATGCACATCAAAATCAGTCATAACTGTGGAAATCCAAACATATGCTTCTTCACAAATGGTATAATCTAAATAGGAACAAGTAAAGCATTAGCTTGGTAGTTAGATGATACACAGAAATAATTCATTAAATTGCCTATATTTACAGACACACAGCCTCACTTAAACTCCTAGAAGAAAGATGGGCATTTTCCTTAAGAAGCTTTATTAGTATTTTTCCATCAGTATATGGCTAGAACTCCCCAGCACATTCTAAAAAGCCCGTCTGCAAGTTCACCTTGGAATATGGCACGCACCCCCATCCTTCTTCCAGCTCTCCGCCCTCCTCTGGTCTGCCCTTCCAGTTTCCAGGCTGGGGCCCTGCTGCTCACCGATCTCCTCGGGACTACCTGGGGCATCCCACTCTGAGACAGAGCCTCTCAGAGCTGGTGCAAGAACTTTTCTAACCCGACACCCACCCAGTGCTCCAAACAGCATCTTGCCATATGTCATCCAGGCACATGCCTCCACTGACAGAGAGCTCCCTGCTTCGATGTCAGCCTGAGCCCTTTGTAGAGAGCTCTCACTCTTGGGAAGTTCTGTCGGAAAGTGAAGCGAACTCAGTCAACCTGTGTTTGCCACCTACTGATCTGACTTCCGTCTCTTTGTGGTCACAGAACAACGGTGACAGATGTTGTCAGTCAATTATTTGAACAGCAGCCCTGTTCCACTATTTCTTCTCCAGGCTACACATGTTGGCTTCTTCCCCTGTCTTTCCATAGGCTTTGAGACACCTCTCCATTCAGGTCATTCTGAATGACCTACACTTATCTCTATTCTTCTCAGACCAGAAAGAACCCACCAAAGTGGAGTTTCCATTCTGAAAAAAAAAATAGCGTATTCCTAGGAAAATAACCTAACTTTTTGGCAGCAACAACTCAGGATTCACTCATTGATTTCATTATCCACTAAAAACCTAAAGCCTTTCACACTTACTACCGAGGCACTTTCCCCCGCCCCGCAGCTGAGTAACTGGCTTCTGGGTGTGCTCATCCCCATTAGATTTCATCCTCCTAAACGAGACCCAACAATCTAACCTCGTGGAGCTGGTTGTATCAGCACAGTCCCTTTCTCCTCTGGCTTCGCGACATCCACAGTTTGGGTAGAAGGCCTTTAATAACCAAAGTCAACATGTAGTTCACCCAAGTCATTGGTAAAAACCCAGCACAGCCCCCAAAGGGCGGCCCCCAGAGCCAGCCACCAGGAGCTCTCCAGTCATATCCCCGCAGCCACCCTGTCCTTCCCATTTGTTCGGTACTATCACAAGCAAATCACCATTTCCAACTTTTTTCTGCTGACATTTTCACTTCCAATTCTCTTCTCATTTTTCTATCAGAGGGCGAGTGGAACGTGGATCACAGCAAATTTAAATATTCACATATGAGATGAATAATAAGGAAAGTACTCAATTGGTCCTATAAAATAGTTTGTAAATTCTAAAAATCAAGTATTTCTCTGTCTACATAGACTATTTACATAGATCTGTAACAAAATCTTTTGAGTTGATTTGGTGTGAATTACTTTCTCCTGTGTGCCTCACTTGAAGGAGTTATTCTTATGACCATGAACATGCACGGCTGCTCACGATTCTTCATTCTGTGGAAACTACCCCAGGTCAGTGGCCAGTCAGGTCCATGGGGCTGACATCTGCTAACCAGGCCGTGCGCACTACCGCAGGAGACCGAGGCCGGCTGTCGGGGAGGGAAAGCCCCGAACCCTGCTGCAGGCGTCCCGGCCGCTGATCTGCCTCGGAGGCCACACGGCAGCACAGGGAGGTCTGGAGGTGAAGTCCGTTCTTTTGTTCTGTGACCTTAGGAAATTTACGTAAACTTTGGGCCTCAGTATTTCCTTTGCAAAATACAAACGATATTACCTGCTTTACAGGGTGGATAAAAGGATAGTAAATAAAATTAATGAGATGATGGATGACTCAATACTATAGTAGGTATTAAATAAAGGTTGGTTTCTCTCTAATTCAAAGATACATGTGACACTAATAATAATGTTGTCTCAAGTCACAAGGACATAAAGTACAGCATAGGGAATATTGTCAATAATATTATAACTATGTGTGGTACCAGGTGGGTACTTGAATTATCAGAGTGATCACTTTGTAAATTATATAACTGCCTACCACTATGCTGTACACCTGAAACTAATGTAAAATAATATTGAATGTCGAGTGTAATTAAAAAATCAAATTTAAAACTATATAGCCCTGACTGGGTAGCTAAGTTGGTTTAGAGTGTCATCCTGATACACTAATGTTGCAGGTTCGATCTCTGGTCAGGGTACATACAAGAGGCAACCAATGAATGCATAAAATAAGTAGAACAACAGCTCGGTGTTTCTCTCTAAAATCAATAAATATATCTATCAATAATAATAATAATAATAATAATAATACTGTCCTGCTCAGAGCTACCTTCAATGAACGAGAGTTAACTGGAGAGTGAGAACGAGAGGGGCTGTTCTGTGAGCATCCGTGCATGTCGTTAACAATTATTTTATGGCTAAAAGAAGTCTAAACAAATTTTTGAATTTGTAGAATATTCCTATTTTTAAAAGCTTATCTCAAATTTTTATCTTAAAATATGTCTAATATTTCAGTCTTAGAGATATAGTGAAATATTTTGGTCTAATATTGTATTCTAGTATCTTGTTGCTCAAAATGTGCATCAAGGATTAGCACCACAGGTGTCCCCAAGAAGCTTGTCAGAAATGCATCGAAATCTACATTTTAACCAGGCCTCCCGCTGATTTGTACAAATGCTGAAGTTTGAGGGTAACTGGTTTAACAGAGCATATCCTCTCTCAAGTTAACTTTTGTGTGTTTTGTGTTCTTCTATATAATACCTGGGATGGTATTACGAACTAGGCTTTTCCTTAACATACTTTTTCGTTAATACACTTTTTCTTGACATCTTGTCTCTTTCATTCCTAAATTTAAAATCAGGACTATAAATAGCAAAAAGTAGCAGCTAGACTCCTCATCCTCCCATTAAGTTGACATCATCCATAAAAGATTTAATTACTTAGGGGAGGGAAAAAACCCAACAGTATGTAGCTTTGCTTTCTGGAACAAGACAAGAAAACACCTTGTAAGTATTAAAATCTCGAAGTGTGCAATTTAAAAGCCTGTTAATTTTCCAAGGAACTATGTCTAAATCCACCTTACTAATAACATTCTCTAGGACTAAGTAGTGGTAATTTATAACTAATTTCTCCAGTATCCAAGTTAGATTGATTTTTTTCTTCCAGAGAGGTATTCACAACTTCACAGAAAAACAACAACAACAACAACAAAACGACATAATTGAGAAAATACCCAAGGGCTTCTACCATGACTGATTCACCTTTTACATTTGGGAAAGGGGCACGACAAGTAACCTGAAATAGGTTAGAATAAGTCCACGTGTTTTATTTACCAAGCTGTTTGAGAGGTACTCACTGGCCTTTTAATGAACTACTCATCTTCCCATCACATAATTCTAGTTGACAGCTAACAAATTTAGTTCACTTAAAAAATGGAATATATGAATGTTGGACAAGATGCTTCATTACCCTCTTTATTAGGTGAACACAGAGATGTTACAGCACACTTGATTGGCAGAACTAGGGTCTTCCAATAGGATCACGTTGAGATGCTTCCTAGGGCTACGTAATTGGACTTACCTGCTGGATCCCTCACTGGTTCCCAGTGCAGGTCACTGTCTTTTTCTCTGATCCACCCACAAAGCCCATGGTCAAAATTGCAACTGTGTATGAAGACACCTGCAAGGAAAAGACCAGAAAGACAAGTAAACCACAACTAACAACAGAAATGTATTTGTTAACAAGGGTGTCCATACACGTGCTCCCTCCTATCTGCACTTAACTAACCCACCAGAACTTCTCTCCAGGAGGTCAAAAGGAAATCACACGAATCCTTTCTCAGCACAATTGGGCCTATGTGCTCAGCTGTAAAAACACAGCACACCAATGTTGCCAAATTATGACCTTGTTACATCATCACTTATAAAATATGATTTCCTCCCCAGAGTTTATATTAAATGCTGTTTAATATATTTCTAAAAAAGATAGTGATGACTCAATTATCTGTGCCCAGCTGATTTAACTGCAGAGAAAATCAAGTGGTTAAAAAAAAATCTATAATTTTCCCAGGTGTAACCTAACAATCTACAATTTAAGAGTTAGTTTCATGAGACAAAGGGAAACAATACAGTGTCATTCTAATGGTACTAAGAATAAAAGTATCTACCTGGATCATCCTTTGCTTCATCCTCTGCACTGACTCCTCTTTCAATTTCAAATATTTCGAACAAATCATTTGAAGGATGCCGCGGAACTGCAAGAGAAGGAGATGGTTTTGATGAGGTTTTGATAAAGACGCATTACCTTGAATGGGGGCAGGGGAGAAAAACCTGGGCATTCACCCATCTGGAAGAATGCAAAATACTTAATTACACTGGACATGAAGATTCACAAAGTCTGTTCTACAGTGATGTATACTGTAATATTTATCTGGGTAAAAATAAAACATGGTTTTCAAAAGTTTCTAATATTCAACATAATATATATTAAAAGGTCTTCATCTGAAAAATACATTTTAAAAGAGCCACCAATTACAAGTAAAATATTAATCTCTACAAAATTCAAAATTTCTATCTCTTTGAAAGATACACTATGAACTGTAGATTAAGGATGTTTTAACTGAAATGCCTGGTTTGGTTTTCTAACCACAGCATCAACTTCCCTCCAGTGAGCATGGGGCACGCTAGTCTAGATTTCTTACCAGGGCCTGCCTTGCTTGAGCAGGTGCCTTGGCTCCTTTAAGGTCAAATCCAAAGGCCTTGGTGCAGCACTTGCCATCTCCCCCCACCCCGCCCCCAAGTGCCCAAACTTGTCATTCATTTTCGGTGTCTGACCCTGTCCCCAGCTTGAGATGTTCTTCCTGCTAATTAACCCACCAAACTTCCCCCGCTTCGTTCATTGCCAGTGTAAACATCACTGCCTATGTGAAAACTTTCATGCCCCAGCAAATTAAATTCTCCCTTGTAATTCACAGGCTCCTGTGTCCACACCTCTATTCCACTTTCTCATAGACTTGCCATTATTTACATACATGTGTCTCTGAGGTCCTAGAGGGCATCAATCATATCTCAGTCAGGTGACATTTCCAGGGTGTGACCTGGTGTCTGTACTCAATGAGTGTTTACTGAACAAATGTGAAGATCTTGTTAAGAAACCCATGGACTATGTCAACCCTTTTCCTCATGGAAACCTGTGGGACAGAGCTTAAGAATACACATTTTTAAAAATGGATGAATTTAAATCTTAAGTTTTTCATTCCTTTAATGTGTATTTGATTGCCACCCACATGCCATGCGCAGTGGGAGGCCGAGGAGACCAGGCAATAGGGGCAAACAAGACCAACAAGGGCCCGGCCCTCAGGAGCCTGCACGCTAACGGGAGGGGCAGACCTACGCACGAAGGTCAACGAACACGATGATTCTGAATGTTGATAAGGGCCAGGAAGGAAAACACCAGCAGATGGCACGGAGAGTGGCCAGGGGGAGAGTGGGGAATGTGGGGGGTGGTGGTCGTGGTGAGTTCTTGGCCAAAGACCAGGGAATACTCCCTTTCCTTTGACAGGACTTAAACGAATTATCTCTATAGGGCAGAGAGTGAAAGATGTAGAACACCGAGGAATAGACATAAAGTCAAAAGCGTTCTTTTTCGATGATGTTCCTGTTATTTTTAGCAAGAATTTTTAAAATTAACACTCCCATATTATTTACACTGATATTTTTCAGCTTCCTGCTTTGAAGTTTTTTCCTGCTTGTTTCAGAAGTCCAGCCGGTAAAGCCCCGCCCCGCTGCCCTCCCACACGCTCACACACACCCAGCCTGTGAGGGAAGAGCAGGGAAGCTAGCTCAGAGGCAGGCTCTGGGGACACAACCTGCTCACAGGTGCTGGGGGCGGGGGCCGCAACTGCCCTCCCTCTTTTACACCCAGATGACTGACAGCAATAACATCCAATTACAGCTTTTCTTTCTTTCTTTGGGGCTCTGAGAGGGAGACTGCCTTTTTATCTGCTGGAAATCCTATGAAGTTGTAGGCAAGCATGCTTCATTTCTGATGACAAAGTTAGAAAAACTCTTTAGAACCATCACTTTATTGTTCCTTTAATCTTGTTGTAAATCATGCAGATTATCTCTGGATTGGAATAGCTCAAATCTTAAAATGCCATATTTTAGGGACATTATGACAATTTGTCAGCTCTCTTTTTCCCACATGTCAGATGGCAAATAGGTCTTGGTGCAGGGAGATCAAGGAGGTCCTCTCTGGGGAAGCACCATTTGGACGGAGAGAGGAAGAACATGGAACCTTCCAAGCAAAGTGTTGGGATGAGGGAAGAGGGAGCATTTCAAGCCTCAGTGCAAGGAAGAGTGCTCAGAGCAGTTGGGGAAAGGGGTTCACAGTGGCTGGATGATGCTGAGAAACAGAACGCAGCCTGGGAGGAAGCAGATGGGAAAGGGAGGGACGAGATCACACGTTTGAAAACAGCACCCAAAGAGTGAGTCATCAGACAACTTGCAAAGTGTGAGACGGTTCATTAGTATTTTAAGCACTACGACTCCAAGAACTATTTATTTCAGCAGCGGAAGATCATACACACCTTCGCTTTAATTCATTGGGAAACGTTCCAAGGAATTTAGAGACCAGAAATGCTCAGCAGCTATTAGTTCTTACAACTGTAACCCCGCCACATTGTTTAATTAACACTCTTTCCTCACACATACCAGCTTAGATTACCAATAGCGCCCCACTGCTGTGTCAAGAGAAAATACTGAATGAAATAAGCAGTGGGGGGAAAAAAAATCAAGCAGGATCTCCACTGTGTACAAGAAAAATGAACGAATAAACCAAAAACTCAGACTAGAAAAAAGAATGGTAAAAAATACACCAATATGCTACTCCAGCCAGAGTGGCTCAGTTGGTTGGAGCGCCAACCCGTAACCAAAGAGTTGTGGGTTCAATTCCTCAGGGCACATGTCTAGGCTGTGGGTTCAGTCCACCTGTCCAGACACATCTCAGGTCCGGGTGCATAGAGGGTGAGGGACACCGGGGTTGGGGGGCTGTGCAACAGATCTATGCTTCTCTCTCGCACGGATGTTTTTTTCTCTGTCTTCCTCTCTCCATCCCTCTCTTTCCAAAAAGCAATGAAAAAAATGTCCTTGGGTGAGGATTAAATAAATAAATATACACCAATATGCTAATAGTGGTAGTCTGATTATTCGAAAGAAAAGTGATATTTTCTCATTTGGGGGGGGGGTTGTATTGTATTTTATGATTCTAAATTTTAAAGATTGTTTATAAAAAGAATTTCTATTACGAAAAAACTTAACCTAAAACATTGAAAGAAAAGAGAGTTCCATGAGAACACATGTACATACCCTACCCCATAGCAACTATGTCTGTTACTTGTGTTTTGACTGCTTTGTAACTGTTGTTAAATATGAGGCTATGAAACTGAAATGTATTTGTGTAATTTGAAAATATTCTTTAATCCAGAGAGCTAGTTTAATAGATGCAGAAAATTTTAATTAAATGATGAGCCATGCCTGAAAACACAAGTATAACCAGGATAGATGCTGATACCTGATTTTCCTACTTATCCTCCCCTGCATTGTATTTTGGCTAATAGCCAATTTTAATACATACACATATATTTTACAAAAACAAATACATATCAACTATTCTCTGTAGTTGGACCATTAATTCTCAGATTAGAATGGTATAATTTCAGAGATTAAAAAAAGGATGGGAAATCTAACATTACAATTCCTCTTTTCAACCCCCCCCCCCCGCCCCTTTATTCCATCTACATGCTAATGCAATCAGTCAAGAGAGTGGTCATTCATTGCATACCAGGCACTGGGCTAAGAGCTTGTCGCGCGGCAAAGCGCATACTCTTGCCTTCACAGGATCTACATCCCAGACATGAAGACACATCTGACCATTTCCCTGGGTAATGAATGCTGTAAACGTGAGGCAGAGGAGGCTATGAGGGCAGGGGCGAGGAGAAAGGGGGCTGGCTGGCTGAGCTGCAGGGGCAGGGCAGGTGCACGAAAACCTCTGAGAGGCAATGCTAACCCCAGGGCGGGCCGGGCCGGGCGGGCAGGACTGGCCGCTGCCAGCTGGCGCCCTGGAGAGTGGCGGGGCGTGGGGCAGCCTCCGCGCTGCAGCTGCAGAGCTCGCAGGAGAGGAAGGGCACCAGGTGACTGAGGCAAGCAGGCTGGGCTGGGCCTTTTAAAGCCCCGTAAAGATTTTCAACTCTGGTAGAAAGTGGAAGCCTCTGGAAGATTTTAACAGGGCAGTGCCAAGATGAGGCACAGCATTGTGGCTGTGGCGAGGAGAATGCACAGGAGGGAGAGGACGTCAGAGGACAGTTATGGCCAACATAAACTGAAGAATTAGTCTTGAAAACATGTATTGCCTACAATTTTTCCTCCCACCGGTTAATGTTTTCAACTACCAAAAATATCCCTTGCCCATTGCTCTTACAACCTTGCGCATGAACCACACGAAGGGGTGCACAAGCCCTGAAGGGAGGAGCCTGCTGGAGGAGGGCGCAGGGGGACCGCATCTGGGGCCCGGGTACTTTCCTGACGCCGCCGGGGAGCCCTGGGGCCTGTGAGAAGAACCAGCCACATAAAGAAGTAGGAAACTTCTTAAAGTCTGGCCCGGCACTTTCTATTAAATATATTCCCCCCATGAATATGATAATATTAATATGTAACCAGAGTTCATAAATGAGGTTTCCCAAATAGTCAGTTGTATATTTTACCCCCAAAAGCGCTGAGAGTAAGCACAGCGAGGTGAATGTAAATATTATCGTACGCACCTCCCACTGTCAGCCCACTCCCAAAGGGTAACTACAGCAAAGTGTAAGCACTATTTATTAAAGGTAGGTTTGCAAATTCTGTCTCTGTTCTCAGGTGACTCCCATGACATGACCCAGGCCAGTTCTGGCATTTGTTGTTGAACTAAAAGGTTAAAGATAACAATGTCTTAAATTCTATGCTTAGAGGTTTAGTTCATCCAAAGAGAATGACACACACTCCTAATTAACTTTCCTAATATTCTCAAGGCACTTTCTGGTGGCAAAACCTAGGGATTTTAGAGACTACAGTGTGGTGATGAATGACAAAGATTTTATGAGGCAGCCTTGCTCTCTCTCCTCCTCTCCCCACTTCCCCTCTCCCACCCTCTCCCCTCCTCTCTTCCCTGCCTCCATTTTCCCTCTCAAGATGAAGAACACATGTATCACAGCTTTAAATC